TTCCTGCTTGTACCAGGAACTGAGCTCACCCTATCTTGAGTGGACTTTTGTGTAGTATATTAGGCATAGAATCTGGAATATCTGCAGGTTGGGACTTATACAGTGATCATAAATCAGTGTGTGTTTAATGCTGGTTAGGCAGCAGCCAAGAAACAAATTTCCTATTTACCCCAGGCCTAGAATCTGTCTGCCTCAGTACTATGCCACTCCCGTGACCACTGGCCCTGAGCACCTCCCCACCTCTGCTGTAACTAGCCTCACAGCACCCCTGGGGGAGGGATGATAGTGCTTGTAGGCCCATTTTACTGAAGGGAAAATGAGGCACAGAGCACTCATGTGACCTTCCTTGGTAGAGACTGGACCTTGGTCTCTCAAACACCAAGCTGCTGCTTTCTCCACTGGGCTATCACTCCTCTAGGAGAGTGTGGGCAGCATCCCTTAGGTGGGGAGGACTATATCTTGGGGGGGAGGAAGGGTGCAGCTGATCAGTCTCCTTCACCTCAGACAGCTTTGTTGGGAAGGGGACACCACGTCCCACCAACCCCGTTGACACAGGCCACTGAGCAGACGAGGCGCTACTTTAGGTTACTGCTGACATGGACTGTATTTGAATAGCTGGCCTAGAGGACACAACCCTCCTTTTTCCCTAATCTCCAAAACCACGCAGGTGGTCAGGCCCAGGACAAAGAATCCTGCAGACCTGAAGAGCCCTTCAATGGGTTTCAGTTGTTCTTACCTGTCCACTGAGACGGCAGCGAGGGTGAAGCTGCTAGCATACATGGTGAGGTAGATGAAGAAGTGGACAGCTTTGCACATGAAGGAGCCGAAGACCCAGCCCTCCAGTGAGTAGATGGTGGCCTGGAAGGGGACGCAGAAAATGATGAAGAAAAAGTCGGCCAGACTGAGGTTGAGGATGAAGAGGTTGGTGGTGTTGTGACCCATCTGGCCATTGCGCAGCAGCACTGCCAGCACCAGGCTGTTGCCCACCGTGCCCAGGAGGAAGATGAGGGAGAAGACAACAGGTACGATGACGCTGGCTGGGCTGAACTGGTGACTGTCCGAGGAGTTCCAGAAGCCAGCCAGGCCGGCAAAGTCCTCATGCTCTGTCATTCTGCCCTGGAGTGAGGGTGTAGGAGACCTGGGGTGCAGAGAGGGGCAAGGGTGGGACAGTCTAATGAGTGAGAGGAGTGACCATATCTTGAGTCTGACTGACCGATTGACTGACTGACTTGAGACAGTAAGACCCCACTAGCGATTCTCTAGCCAAGGGCTCCTCAGGAGGAGTGGCTAGTAATGGGCTTAGGGAGTATGCAGTGTGAGATGGGATGCCATCTTCATGAAGTTTGTGGTTAATAGCTTCCACACCTCAGAGCCTGTGCCTGGAATTACGCTGAAGCAGAAGCCCAGGTGCTCTCCAGGGCAGATAGTGATGGAGGCGATGAGAGGCAGGGTTCCTCTGTTACGGCTGGAGGAGCTGAGATAATACTGCCTCTTGCAGTATTTCTGTCTCCCACTCAACCTGCATGACCACAGTAAGGGAGAAGTGTTCCCATTGTGGCGGTGAGGCTACAGCAGTCTATCAACAAAATTCCAAAGCCAGGCAATTTTATTGCACTTTATAAATACATGATGAACACTCTTTACTCCATCCCTTTCTACATCTGTGCCACCAGATTAAATGTAATGGCATTTATAGCCCTGCAGTGTCCTACAATGGTGGTAGCTGAGCCACTTGCTAATTTATTCACCCTTATATTTCTAAAGGAGTTGGCTGGTCTGTAGAGAGAGCTCCCATTTTTATCTGAGAGCCAATGCAGCATGTCACAGAGGAGACCGGCACTGTGACTCCTGTGTTAAAGCTCTCATGGCAACTTTACTTTGATATAGTTTGTGTGGTTTCCCTTCCTCTTTTTAGGAGCCAGAGCACCAAGCAGGCTAAATTGTCCTCAGCTGGCCCTGGTTACCTGAGTAGGCCTGGCTGTTTGCTTAAAAGGTTATGGTTTGTTTTCCCAAAAGAGATCTGACCTAAGGAGAGGAAGTGAAGGCAATAGTTTGCAAATCTCAAAGTGGCAGGACAGTTCTGCTGAGGGGACCATGAGCAAAACACTCATGTTGCTGTTTCAGATGATCATTTGACTTTCAGATGTGACACCTTACTGACAGGGAAAAGCAATTCATAGCTTACAGGTTATGACCTACAGGGTCTCCTCTTGGAAGGGTTTCTTCACAGCTGTAAGGGCTGGGAAAATTCATTTTCATCTCTTAAAGCCCCAGCACTGACCAGGGTGACAGAGCAAGGGGTATGTGCAGATGGTGTCCTCTGTGTCTATGCCGTTCAGCTATTTTGTGGAAATGTGTATGCAAATACCTGGGTCAGGGTTTGGCCTCTGGGACTGTGGTGGAATCCAAGCTAGTGCTTTTTCAATTTAGAACAATAACATTTCACCAACTGCACATTCACTCTCCCTGTCCCTACATATTCATCAGCATTCCCTCAATATGATGATGACAGTCTTCCAGTAACTAGGGGAGTGATCTGTGTATATGTATACCTATGTAACTATACACAAATACATATATATGTATCTCCCTACTATATGTAAATTTATATTAGTGAGATATTTAATCCTGCCAAATGTCCAGAATTCATCCACTTATTTTTCCTCTCTGGAGCTGGGGGATGACGCAAAGGTACATGCACGGACAGTTTCTTATTGGTAAAACCCACAGGCACACACTATTTTATTTCCTATCAGCAAATGTTTGCACTGGCCACTTCTGTTTGCAGCAAAAGAAGTCTTCCCCTCCCCCCAAGTTATCCCCCTAGGTCTGTCAGGTCTCTGTACCCTCTGTAAAGGATCAAGATCTCTCTGTTTTCCTCTCTTGCTCAGGGAGTTTACAGGCTCAGGTTTCGTCCTGGGTGAAGCAGTACTAAATGGAAAGTATCTGAAGTGTTGCTGCCGCCACCTGGGGACCAGCGTGGGAAGCATGTTTGCACAGAGGAGCATAGGGACACGTTCTGAATCGGCAGCTTACATGCATATTACGAGGAGGCAGACATAGCTCTACAAAGATAGAATTGGTGGTCTGGATGGAGGAGGCGACTTGCTCAGTGCTTCTCATGAAGTCAATGATAAAGTATAGAAAAGAACCCAGGAATCCCGATTCTCACTGAGACCAATAAAGGGACTCAGGTGGGTAGAGGAAATGGTCTGTGCTCTCCTGTCACACTCAAAAGGGACATGTGACAGGCAGGAGGACAGCATCTCCATCTACTCTGAGGAAAGTTGTACGAGTACACTCGCATGCACCAGGCTGCCTGTAGCTCAGGCAAGCCTATCCTGCAGACCCACAGAACACTAGTGCAAGGTACTGGTAATGTATCTGCATAGGTACAAGACTCCCCAGTACAGACAGGCTAAGTGATAAGAGTACGTTTCATATGCATCTGGGGTGTGCCTATGTATCTTCTTTGTGTACTGTACCTCTAGTGGCTGCTCCACAGTGCACAGGTCAAACACACCTGCTATTCCTAGAGCTCACACAAGAGACTTTTACTTTTAGCACTTGAGATTCCAGTCTCCATCCCCACCGATGACTTGCAAGGACAAATGCCACCTGTTACTCCTGGAAGGGCCTGTTCATCCCACAGCTGTGGGAAGTAAAAGTAAGTTTCCTAGTGACAGCACTGATGCTGATGCCTTGAATATGAAATTTGCCTTGTGAAAGAGCCAGCTTTGCCTTGGCTCTCCCACACACAGGTGCCAGGCAGCACCAGACTTAAGCTCCCCTGCCTTTTAAGAAAAGCTGCAATGAGCAAATACATAAAGTGAGAGAATGCAGGACTGATCAAAGCAAGAGAGGCAGACAGGCCTGGGAAGATGGGATAGGCAACATTAATGTGCAAGCCACTCATTTTTGCCCTGTGTGACTTAAGATCTGTCTTGGTTCATGAACAAAGCCAATTAAAACAGCAGGGAAAGCTGTAGGATTGCTGCAACATCATGAACACATCCCTGCCAAATCAAAATGGTACCAGGCAGTTACAGAGAAAAGAGGAGAGTGCTGTCAAGGCTCTTCACTGCAGGCCTGAGCACCAGCAAGGGTTACAATCCGGTGGGTGACTTGGTTCGGATCTGCTGTGCACAGGGGTTGGAGTCACCTCTCATGCTGGGGCTGGATTCTCTTCTGCTAGTTCCACATGCATCACCAAAGGCATTTCTCCAGGCAAAAGAGAGTGAGTAGTGCCCCTGAGGCCAGTGGGTGAAACCAGTGCAAGTGAAAGCAGACCTGAGCTGCTGCCAGATATCCTGCCCTGTCTTCCTCTCATATTTATTGACCACAGGTCAGGTTATGCACTTGTTTCCACCTGGGTGAATCCAGGGCCTGTTGAACTACTCTGGGGTGAAGTCAAGTAACAGATCCAGGGCACATAGTCCTACAAGCACTGGGGGTCCTGGATTCAATCCCTACTGATGTAGGGAATTGGCCAAGTCATCACACAGTTGACAGCGCTCAGCCACAAGTCCAGCAATAGGCTCTATTTGTCCTGTCTGTTTTGTCTGTCTACTTCTATCCCAGGATAAGTGAAAGCTAAATCATAGCTTACTCCTGTTTTTTTCAGAGGCAAGCTGCCCTGGTTCAGTTTCCACTTACCATGGGACAGGAGCAGGTGCACTGAACAGTTACTGCAGAGCAGCTTATCCCATTTTTCAACTCTGCCTAATTTGCCTGTCTATGCTCTGAATCCTTTTCAGTCTCTAGGCCCCTTTGCTTCTCCTGGCCCCCTGTTCAGGTGGTCAAGAGCCCAATCACCACCCCTAATTCATGGCTAAATTTGCCTTCTTGTAGGGTGTAGCAGGAAAAACCAAAGGCGATATTCTCCAAGTTCTGCCCGCAACTCAAATTCCTCTCACTTGAGCTGTCCAGCTAGAAGGCAGGGCAGCAAATCCTTCCTTTCCCTTATGTAGCGCCCTGATGAGCCCTGAAAGCAATGCTTTTGTCCTCATGAAAATGCAGAATCAACATCCTATAGCCATTGTCCCAGGTTGCTTGCAGACTTGGGCAGCCTTTCCTGCATCATTTCTTTGGCAGTTCACACCTGTAAGATTATTTCCCCGACCTGAAGGATTGTGGTCTTAGGGTTTCCTGTTAGTGAAACCTTCATCATCAGACGTGAGACATGAGGTGAGAATGGACTGCTAGCTGCAGGCTGAGTTACTGCCCAAGCTCTGCGAGCCATGCTCTGTCTGACTATTCCCTGTTATGGCTTTTTACCCAGCCCTGCTATTAGACAGTTCTTACAGGAAACAACAAGCGACTTCTCTGTCCATGTTAAACACTTATCTGGTCCCCACTGCTACAGTACTGGAGCATTTGGCGTGCTGACCTCCCCCCAGGCCCCCATGAAGTAGGCCAGTGCCATTCTTCCCACTTTGTAGACTGGGCTGAGGCTCAGAGAGGCTACATGACTCACCCCAGGTTGCAGAAAGAGTCTGTGGCAGAGCAGGGAGCCGGACCCAGGTGTATGGCTAACACCCCAGTCTGGCATCTCCCTCTCTCTGCCTGAGCCCAGAGGGTTTGTCTGTTCACCAGAGGTGTCCAGTAGCTGACAAGCTGGCATGGCTTTCGTGGGTTTCTTTAGCTTTGACCAAATCCAACTGCACTTCAGTAGAGAAGGGGGAGGGAAAGGACAGAAGGGGACCGGGTCCTGGGCCACGGGTATGGTACCCATCTGCTTCCCAGGACCCCCAGCCCCGAGGAGGCCCCGTTACCCCTCCTAGAAAGGTCTGGTGCTTCCCCTGAGGTCAATGGCAAAGTGGAGCAGCGATCCCCGGAGTCCCGACTCTCCCTGAGGGACCAGCGACGGGGCTCGGGTCGGAGCTGCAGGGACGGGAGCGGGCGGAGGCGGAGGCGGAGGCAGGGGAGCGGTCGCGCCGGACGGGGCACGGGCCGGGACCCGGGGCTCCCCGCGGGCTCCGGCCGCACCGCACAG